GCTGTTGGATTCTTTCAAGAGTTGTAGGTGAATTATATTTTGGAGAGTAAAATTGCATTTTTAAGGAAACAGGGGGCTTATTAATAAATGCTGCTTTGGGCAGTCAAAAAGATATTTGTGACTGTGATACATGTTCACAGCAGTATTATTCACAGTAGCCAAAGACAGATATAACCCAAGTGTCCATTGATGGATGACTGGATAAACAAAACGTGTATATACACATATACACACACACACACACACACACACACACACGAAAACTATTCAGCCTTAGAAAGAGGAAATTCTGGCACATGCTACAACATAGATGAACCTATTTATAGCTGTGTGAAATAAGCCAGACTGAAAAGGATAAATACTGTATGATTCCACTATGAGGTCCCTAGAGTAGCCAAATTCAGAGACAGAAAATGCAAATAATGAGTGCCAGGGACTAGGGGAGGAGAATGGGGGGTTAATGTTTAATGGGGACAGTTTCAGTATGGGAAGATGAAAAAGTTCTGGGGACGGATGATGGTGATGGTCCTTAATGCCATTGTATACTTAAAAGTGGTTAAAATGGTAAATTTTGTGTAATGTATATTTTCCTACAATTAAAAACAAAAAAGAAAACCTTGTACAGAGTAAAAAAAAAAAAAATGCTGCTTCTGAAGTCTTTGAAAGACAAAGAATAGTTACTGCCTTATCTGTTTAAGTTGAAGCCAAGAATTTTAAAGCTAATTTTCATAATGTTATAGTATGAATTATATTTCACCTTAATACCTTACCTTTTAAGTTAGGGAATTCAATTCACTGAGCACTTACAGTATTACTAGAAATTTGCTAAATCTATGAATGATCCCAAAGAAGTCTAAACTACAAGAGATTACAATTTGTGTATTTATATACGTGTGGTACTAGGGCAAGATTTACATAGGAAACAATCCTCATTAAGAAATCAAGACAGGCGGAAGTGGGGTGGGGGAGGGAAGGATTGAGAGTTTGGAATTAGCAGATGCAAACTATTATATATAGGATGGATAAACAACAAGGTCCTATTGTATAGCACATGGAACTATATTCAATATCCGGTGACAAACCATAATGGAAAATATGAAAAGTAATATATATAACGGAATCACTTTGCTGTACAGCACAAATTAACACAACACTGTGAATCAACTATACTTCAATAAAATTTTTTTAAAAAGACAAAAAAAAATCAAGGCAATTTCAATTACACTTGACCCTTGAACAACATTGGGGGTCAAGGGTGCTAACCTTCCGCGAAGTTGAAAATCTGCGTATAACTTATAGTCACCCCTCCCTATCCGCGGATTTACCTAACCATGGGCCATGTAAGCACTGTGTAATTTACTACTGAAAAAAATCTGGGTATAAGTGGACCCATGCAGTTCAAACCTGTGTTGTTCAAGGATCAATTGTACTTGAATTATAGGGATTAAAAGTGGGATAATGTATATAAAATATTGTACATTGGCTATACCTCAATAAAACAAAAAACCCCCAAAGTGATAAAGAGAGATTCCTGATAATATCATCTAAACAAAGATCCAATCATCCCTGAGGCTACTGCAAACACTGACCAATAAGTAAAACTTTCTGACTTGAGTAAGTTTGATTTGGGTTTCTATAAATTACAATTGAGAGCCTTGACTAATACAAGAAACATTTGTGGTTCGTATTTTTATTCATGGAGAATGGGTTGCCAACTAAATTAATTTCAGAAACAGGCAAAAAAAAAAAAAGTGGGAGAGCCCTTTTGGATTGGATACATTACAGGAACTTCACTGTTTCATGCAGGCAAGAAGGGGAGCTGTCATTTGAGGTTGCCATGTTATTTAGCCCCCAAATATCTCTTGCAATATTAAGTAGAACGCCACCCATTTCTTCCTTTAGAGTTTTCTTTTGTGTGACGGTGTTTGTCAGCCTTCCCTCTACTTCTAGATAGAGCCTCTAGTATTTGGAGCCTTAGGGAGTACTGGCAGAATGGTAACCAAAGGTTTTTGGAGGTACAAAATAAAGGGAATCTGCGTGCTCAAGATTTACTTTGCTTTGGTTTTATTTAAGGAAGGTTGATTCTGAAGGGTAGGTAGAGTTTAAACATAAAGGGAAAGAATCTCCTCTTTTGGGATTCAGTCATGGTAACTACAGTGGGTTAGAGTAATAAAGAAGTTGCTGTCTGGAACTAGACTTGCCCATCATCCAGCAGGTACAAGACCTACCTTTAGGTACAAAAGTCTGTTCTCACTAGCTGCACATGGTACCCATAGGTTAGTCCTGATAGGTTACAGAACAGGTCAGTAGTTGACATCAAGAACCAAGTTGGGTAGTGCCGGCATTAAACAGGTCTAGTAGCAGTTAGCAGTGTCTCAGTCAATAGATTTGGGTTTCAATGCAGAAAAGCAGCCTCTCAGAGAAGGTGGTTAGGGGTAAAGGACTAGAAAGTGAGAGGTCTTATATCTCAAGAGGCTTACATCCTGGACAGATGACCTAAGCAGAGGCTCAGGTTCAGCAATCACACAGGGAGTCTGGTTACCACACTTGAGGCACCAGCCAAATGTACACATCATGGCATTGTACATACTTCTCGAAATAGCGTACCTTTAATTCTGGGATCAGCTGACAAAAAGTACTGCATGTATGAGTATCATGAATCTTTCTGGAGAATTAATTTTACTTGATAGCAATTTAATCCCTGTTACATATTTTTATACTAAAACAAGCAGTCATGCTTTGAAGTAGATGGCTATTTTGGATGAATTTAGACAAGAAAGCACAGATTTCAAAGAAATGCCCACATCTTATTAAGGAGTTTTAGCTATACTCCCAAGTCATTTTTTGATGCTCTTAGAAAAGTTTGAAATGCAACGAAGGCAAAAGTACTGTCAGAAAAGGCCACTTTAAACTAGGTTCTGCTACTTGTGTGACCTTGGGCAAATTCAGAAATTACCTAATCCCATAGGATTGTTGTAAGATTACTGATAACACACAAGCATCTAGCAGAGTAACTGACAGGTACATAGGTGCTTAATGTGACAAAGGAGAAAAAGCCTGGGCTAAAAATACTTAACCTTGCTGCCTCATATTAGGTCAGGTCCTATATAGCCTGTTAGATCTCCACACAGAATAAAAACTCAGACTGGAAGTGTGAGTGTGGAGTGAAGTTTGACTGGAACATGGCTGGATATGGCAAGGAACTAATGTAAGTCACTTATCTATTCCTGATTACCCACTGTTAGATTTATATACATAGTCATTTTATCTTAATAACTCTTTAAAGAAGGCATAATTACAATTTTACAAATGAGATAATAGGTTCAGAAAGGCTCAAATTGACCAAAGTTAAAGAGCTAGTTAGGGAATTCCCTGGTGGTCCAGTCGTTAGGACTCCGAGCACTCACTGCTGAGGGCCTGGGTTCAACACCTGGTCGTCGGGGAACTAAAATCCCACAAGCTGCTCGGCATCGCCAAAAAAAGAAAAAAAAAAAAGCCAATTAAGTAGTGGAGCAGGTACCTAAGCTTAATCATTCTATCACATTCTACCTTAGGGAGGGGAGGTTCTCCTCTTCCCCAAAATGGGGAGTGGGTTTGAATAAGTGAGATTAAATAAATAATGGCTATCTAGTAGTTATATGGTAGGTCTTGACTATAGAAATAACACAAAAAACATTTAACCCTGAGTTGGTGAACTGTGTTGGGTGATGTGACATGGAAGAGAAGACTAGAGGCAGGAATGTCAGTGAGAAATCTTTCATAGTGGGCTTCCCTGGTGGCGCAGTGGTTGAGAATCTGCCTGCTAATGCAGGGGACACGGATTCGAGCCCTGGTCTGGGAGGATCCCACATGCCGCGGAGCAACTGGGCTGGTGAGCCACAACTACTGAGCCTGCGCATCTGGAGTCTGTGCTCCGCAACAAGAGAGGCCGCGATAGTGAGAGGCCCACGCGCCGCGATGAAGACTGGCCCCCGCTTGCCACAACTAGAGAAAGCCCTCACACAGAAACGAAGACCCAACACAGCAAAAATTAATTAATTAATAAACTCCTACCCTCAACATCTTAAAAAAAAAAAAGGAAATCTTTCATAGTATTCTAAGAATACACTGATAGCGGTTTCAAGTCCAATCATCTTCAAGTACAGTAAAGCCTTGTTAATTTAGACTATAGTATATTGAATCGGCAATAATCTATACACAAATTGAGAAACAAAGAAAATCTGAAAATATTCTTCACACTCCCTCCACCTCCCCACCAGTTCAGCTCGAATCAAAGCTCTGACATTCCCCAGTAACTTCTCCTTAATGGCCACACTAAATTCTAGGTAATGGAATGACTGAGCCCAAACCACAAAGAGTAGCATTCTATACACGATAGCATACAAATATAAGCTACCATGCCCTCTTCCATTTTTCGTTGGTTCACCTTCACCAACATTTTTTCCTTTATTTAGCATCTACTTTAGTAAGGTCTTCTGCCAGATAATGGAGACATAGAGCTGGATAAGATCATATAACAGCTCAGTCCAATAACACTGGAAATTATGAGACCACCAAGCAGTTCACAGCTGAGACATACACAAAAAATAGGGCCAAATAGAAAGATTTAGAGAATGAAAGTACTGAAGATAAATTAAGTCAAAGGGTTGAAAAGCAAATAGGAGTCTGTCAGGAAGCAAGGAGAAGGAATGGTTTTTTGAGACCTGAAAGCATAATACAGTGATATGTTTAGGCAAGAAGGTCCCTGTGATTGGAGGGTTACAGGGTGGCATGCTTAGAAACATTGGTAGCGATTAGCTCCTAAAAAGATACATCATGCTAGGAAACTGGGACTTTTCCTTGTGAATCAATATTTCCCACAGTCATGACCATGGAACCCTTTGAAATTACATGAAGAAGAAATACCAACAGTAGTACAGGTTTAAATTTTTGATTCTTTACCTTTCTTAAAATCTAAGAGGTATAAAAAATTTGAATCATTTTTTTAAAACCCCAAGATATCATCAGTGAAGTAAATCATCTTTTATTTTCATCTTATATTTGGTTATCAAGAGGCATGCAAAACCCTCCAATTTTAATGAGAACAGTGTTTTTGTGTCTTTTTGTCACATATCCGCTTAATATTAGGTGTAATGTTGCTAAGTCGGATCCGCATGTGAGGTGCAGCATCGAGTCTTTTCCTGTATTTCGTTTTTGTTGCAGCATAATATGAAAATCCTGTCTCACACAGGTGCATTGTAGCAAAAGGAAGAAGTACACGAACTGCACGCCTTGCAACACTTGGGTACTCTTGAATTAGGCTACTCCAAAAATCATTTAGTGAAAGTTCACTGAAATTTTGTTTCACTTGAGAATCAGATGTTAAATCAATCAGGCTCTCGTAGTCCCGTGCTACTAATGAGGCTGGTTTAACAGTTACTGTAAATGGATTTCTAACCCAAGCATTATTGTCATTTGTTACAGGAAAATATTTTAACAGAGTAGAGCGCAAACCCCTTAGGTGGTGCACTATGGCACTGCAAATATCTTTATCAACTGTAGAATTAATTTCAGTCAAAAAGTCACTGAGTGTAGGAAAACAATCAAAGTTTTCTTCTTCAACAGATGAGGCCCAAAATTCCAATTTTCTTAACAATGATGACATTTTATCAAATACTGTGAACACTGTCACATTTTTTCCTTGCATTGACAGATTAACCTCATTTAATTTAGTAAAAATATCTGCAAGATATGCAAGTCTTAGCAGCCAAGATGAATTTGTTAAACAATCAGACAGTCGAAAAGCAGAATCCATGAAAACCAATAGTTCACGACGAAGCTCAAAAAGTCTTACAAGAACTTTACCTCGGGAAAGCCACCTCACCTCTGTATTTAGAAGAAGGGCTGTGTGCTGGGCACCCATTTCTTCACACAAAATTTTTAGTAGTCTGGATTGATGTGGTCGAGCTTTAATATAATTGATGATTTGTACGGCCTGATCTAGCACATTTTTCAGAGATGCAGGCATTGTTTTAACTGCTAGTGCATGTCTATATAACAGGCAGTGACTACTGGAGCTTTCGGGAGCCACATATTTTATCAAGGTGACAGCCTCAGCAATTTTCCCGTCCATTGCCCTGGAAGCATCACTACAAACATCAACACATTTTTCCCATTCAATTTCATGTTTCTGCATAAAACTGTTAATGCAGTTGAAAATTTCTTCACCAGTGGCATTACTCTGCAAAGACTCACATAAGAGTAGGTCTTCCTCAATAGACTTATTAAACCTGTAACGAACAAACACAAGCAGCACAGCAAGTCCTGAAACATCAGCTGATTCATCTAGTTGCAGTGAAAACCCATCACAAATTTTCAGTCTACAAACAAGCTCTTCTTCAATGTCAGCAGCTAGATCCTTAATTCGACGTGCAACAGTACTGTTTGATAGTTGTACTGCATCTATTTTTTTACTATACTGTTCGTCAAACATCCGCATCACCACATCTTTTGCACAAGGCTTGATAAGCAATTCTCCAATAGTATGAGCCTCTCCACTCAGGGCTATATGGTAACTTACATTGTATGATGCTTCTGTAGCACTTTCATTATCTGTATTGACAATTTTAGGTGCTGGGGGTTTATTATTTTCAGGTGAATCAAGATGTTGCTTGAAAAAGCTTATGTCTTTGTCTTTGTATGCAGCATGTTTAGTTTCCAAATGTCTTCGAAGCTTACTAGGGGCCAAAGAGCTATTTGATAAAATTTTCTTACATAATACACACTGGGCATGAGGTGCATCTCTATTTCCAAAGTAAGTAAATCCAAAAGACAAATAACTTTCATCATATTTTCTTCTTTTTGGTTTCTTACTAAATGTTGTTATTTTGTTGGAATTGGACATAAATTTGACCCTGGAAAGCTCACCTTCTGAATTTTTAGAAACTGCAGGCTGCAACTGCTCATCTTCACTCTGTAATATTCCAACCTTTTGATCATTTGATTCAGACACAATTTGATAACAAAAAGATTCTACTTCTTGTTTAAGACTTCCTTGTTTCAGCAACAGATCCATAGGCAATGAATTTGTGGTACAAAACATGGTTAATTTAGAATAAACATTGAGTATCACAAATGTGTTGAAATTATAAGACAGGATACATAGAAGATGAGCAACCATCAAAGAGATGATATATAGCAACACATCAGTTAATTTGTAAGTGCTGCCTATGCATCAACGCGCAGATGGAACATCACACGTTCGTGTATCAGGTGATCTCTCATTCGACTTCCTGGTGCTCTCAGGTATGGCACACCTTTTCTTAAAGGTAGATTATCACATAAAAATAAAAGCTATAGAAATGAGTTTAGTAGTCTTAAACTTACATTTAAAAATAAATTCTAAAAGAAGAAACTACTGTTAGCATTGATCTTTTTCTCACAACGCTTATTAACTTAAGATAACATTAATCTTCTATAAAACACAGTATGGGAACCATTGGACTAAGAAATAATGAGTTGATAAATGCATTTTTAAGGAAGAGACCTTGAGGTCCCATGGCAGGGTTGGCAAACTTCTCCTGTAAAGTGCCATACGGTAAATGTTTTTTACCTGATGGGCCGTATGGTCTCTGCTGCCAACTACTCAGCTTTGTAGTTGTAGCATGGCAGCAGCCATAGACAAAACGTTAAAGAGTGGGCAAGTTGTGTTCCAATAAATCTCTATTTATAAAAACAGACAGCGTGGGGCCATAATTTATCATCCCCTTTCATGATATACAGTATCTTGGAATCTCTTCTAGCTTTCTGATGCCTACTGCCATTAGATACATTCACTGTTGACACCGTCATAAATCTTAAGGCTCCTTTCAGGGCTAGTAATTATTCTGATAAGCTATGTCAAAAACACAAACAGTTCAAAGTTTTGCAAGACACAGAATTCTGGTGTATCTAAACACTGTGTGTTAACATTGAAAAATAAACTGTAAACCAAAAGTTAGCTACTATTTCTCTGGACTTAAATTACATAAATATTTATATTATCCAAAATAAGATTCATTCAAAATAATGCATATATTTTACTGATTACTCTCCATCCCATTACTCTAGGTGAAGGCTTAACGAAGACCTAAAGAAAACTCTCATTTAAATAGGTTTATTCCTCATATAATAGTTTTTTAAAAGCATAATTAAATGGAAGAGTAATGCAAATTTTAGGACCTCTGATGAATACCAGCCTTATAAGTTAAGGCATTCAAATTTAGTGTCTACCTAAATATAGCTAGTTTGATTTAAAGTTTGAGTTAAACTTTATGATTTGGCTCAGAGTAAGCTTTGGATTCTCGTATCAGATCCTGAATTAAAATGGTTTTCTCAGTAACAGCTAGAGGGTAAGATACCTGAAATGAGGAGCACTCCCTTCTGCAATCACTCTCTCCACCTTGGCAGCTTGAAACGCAGACGCTTCAAAAAAAATGAAATTAAGGGATAGGGTGGAAGGGGAGTAACCAAAAGCCTAGAATGAGAAAAAATAAAATTAGACACTACAAAAGGAGAACGAACTATACACCTCTAAGATGACCATTCTTTACAATTTATTTTAGAGCCAGGCAGTGCAAATGATTCTTCACTGCAATGCAGATCTTAGACTGAAACAGAAGATGCCTAACATAGTAAAAATGTTAATATTTTCGTCCTGTTTAATACCCTGGTAATTTCATTATTTTGTAACGCTCCCCCATCCACTGACTTCAAAGAAAAACATTAAAAACTCTCAGAAGCGAAACCTAACTTTTAAAACTACAGCCACACCTTAGTGTCTCTAAAACTAAGCACTGAAAGTAATCTAAAATGGAATTATACATGGAAGGGTTACATGAACTATGCTTTTTTGTTACAACCACTCTTGTCTCAATAACCAAGCTCCTTAACTTACTAATGTTTATTGAGTGATCACTGTTTACTATGTGCCAGTAACTGCTAAATCCTTCCTAGATTAGGTCACTTAATCCTCAAAACAAACGTGAGAGTCAGGGACTATTATTAAAACCCCCCCTTTAGGGATGAACAAATAGATACAGAGAGGCTAAGTCACCTGCTAAGTTAACACATCTGTGAAGAACTCAGAACGGAACCCAGAAAGTTCGACTGCAGAGCCCACGTGCCTAGTCACTGCTTGTGTGTCCCTGAATACTCTTAATCTCTCAAGCACTAAAAAATCTGTTACCAGGAGTTGGATGGTGCAGAGAGAAATGAATTACAATGGGTTACAACTGCCAGAAAGTCGAGGGTCTCAAACTGGCAGCAGGAGAAAGCCCTACATCTTCATTCCTGGGAGCGAAAGAGTAGACCGTCCTTTCACAGTCCTGAATGCGCTTTAGCTGCCGAGAACTTCATGGAAACGCTGGGTGACCTCAAAATTTAGGATTCCTCTCCCCTGCTACCAGAGACGGACACGACGGAGTGAAAACGCTTTGTTCGGAGGGCCTCAGTTCCACCTTTTTAGAGGTGCTTCCCCGAATCTCTCGAGGACAAAGAGACTGGACTCCCTAAAGCTTCTATTCGACTCCCTGAAAAGGGGCGGGGGGAAACCTCATCTTTTGTCTCTTCTGCTAAGGTGACAGGTAGCACCCTCCATTCAACCCCCACCCTAAGGCGGTTCCTGCTCTGAACAATACCCGTGGGGCAGGAGGGCTGGGTAGGAGTGCAGTCCATTCATAAGCCGAGGCAGGAGGTGGGCACGGACACTCCGTCCAGCACCTAAGTGCTTTTTTCAACGGTCACCTCGATGGGCGGCCCGGCCACCTATCCCTCGGCTGCTCCTTGTCACAGGAGCGCGCTGCCCACCACAGCTGGGGGGCTGGCTTCCTGTGGGCGTCCACCCTCGCCTACGGAACTGCTCTCGCGTCCCCGGGCGGTCGCCTCAGCTAACAACCACAGGAAAACGTCTCAGCACCCGCCGCTATCTTTCTCCTTCATCTCCATCAGTGATGGAGAGAAGGGTCTCGGCTGCGGCTGGGCTGCGGAGCAGCGCCGCGGTCCCCAGCTGAGCCTGCGGCCGCCATTTTACGAAGCTCACGGCAGCGGCCATTTCAGAGCGCACCACTCAGCCGCCGCGGCGGCTCTGGTCCTCACCTTCACCGAGGCCTGAACGGGGTCAAGAGCCAGTCGTCGCGGACTGGAGGGGAGAGGGGGGAAGGGAGGAAGGGGAGAAATGAAAAACAAAACAGAGGGAAGAAGGATTCGGGGGGCCGGGCGATGCTCTCAGCTCAGGGATATCGCCTATGCCACCTCCATAGAGATCCAATTCGCGGCGGGCGCGGTAGCTCCTCTGAAGATAAATTTAGCACTCCGGGGCACCCGAACTTACTGTCTCCTTGAGCGACTCCGCCGCCGCCCAATCAGCGCCGGAGTTGCTCCCCGACACCAATCCGCGCTGAGCAGTGGGGTGGGACCAAAGCAAAGGACCAAGCTCGGTTGAGGCGTTGCCCAGCTGCTGTTGCCCCTGGCAGTCTGGAATCGTGAGCTCGAGGAGGCTGAGTTGAATGGCAGACGTGAAGCGATTGTTTTCAAATTTCCCTGGGCCAGAGCAGCCCAGGCATTTGTTTACAGTGTAGAGTCCTGGGTGCTGTGAGATAGCATTTGTGATCCTGTAGGGCTGGACTGGCTTTGAGAAATCTGCGTATCCACAAGCACTGGGGCTCTGCCCCGGCGGCAGATTTGAGTGGATTCGCGGAGTCTCGGCTGCTGGTGCTTTCACGCCCTCTTTGTTCCCCGAGCCGCACCCCAGGCCCAGATTGCGCAACCGCCTCCTCTTTTCCTTGTTTTCTCACTGGAATCGGGGCAGAAAACTCCCTCTCCCTTCCCCGCCCCTCCCCGACGCAGGCGTGTCGGGGGCCCCTAGTGCGCAGAGCTGGGAGCTGAGCCTGATCTTGCCGGGGCGCTGCTCTTGGGTGACCCCACATGGGGTCGGGGAGCCGCGTGTTACAGCAGCGTCTCCGCAGCGTCAACGGGAAAGAGGCCACTTCCTGTGCCTTTTGCACCCCTCACTGGTGGCTCCCTCCTCGGAGGAACGTCCAGCGCTCTGGAACACTCAGTTTGCTAGCTGTAGCATCGGGTGTTTTAAGCCCATTTCTTCTACGCCCATCCCCTCTTTTTAAAAACAACACAGCAAAAGGCTTCGGGCTGTGTATTCGGGCTGTGTGAGATCCGTCGTGGCGACCTGCAGTCTGTTTTTCCAAACTGGCATCTTAAAATATGTACGCTTCTTGGAGGGAATTTGTTAAAATACGCGTAGCTTTAAACAGTGGGTCCTATTGTTTGCAATATTTTAGATTTTCGAGGCCCCGTAGAAATAGCCAAATGAAAGTTGGATCTTGTTTTTAGGCGCTGCACCAATGACAGAAAATTCCCAACTTGTGGTCAAAAGCAAGGGCAGCTTTTGTTTTTCTTAAATATGCTCTTCTTTGATATGCGAATAAATTTCTTAGGCGTTGAAAGAAGTCTAACCTTTTATTTAACAGAATTTTCAGGAGGACTGAAAAGGATGATTTCCTAGGACTGATCATAGATGTTAACATTTGGTCCTAAATGCTTTAAAGTCATTTCAGCATCTTCAGAACTTTGCCCTATGGTAGGCTATCCATATGTTTTTATTATCATTTTAAAATGATCCCTCTTAAATCGGCCTCATTTGAGGGGGAAATCATTTTGGGGAAGGGGCGCAATTTTACTTGAAGAGCGAAGAATTTCATTTTGTAATTGCAGGAGTTGTCTAGCTTCTTAATACTATTGGAATAATATCCCACATTTTCATATGTTTTATATTTCAGAAAAGCCTTTTACGTATATGCTCCCGGTCTAATCTTCACGTATCTGGTTTACATCTTCATGAATTGGGAAAATCCAAAACATTCAGCTGATAACAAATACAACTGAAGTCAAGTCTAGGATTTAATCTAGGTCCCAAAATCCGAAGTCTGATAATTAAGGGACTTGAAACATAAGAACTTTTTCTGTAATTGATTAGTCGATACGTTATTATAGGATGTTGGTTGCTGAGACAGATAAGAAAACGTATAGACAATGTAGAACTCAGACCAATAATGATAATGGCTAGCATTTATTGAATATGCAGTATTGGCAGAGGCTGTTCTATCTACACACTTTTTAAAGTACTAGCTCATTTACTCTTTACAACACTGTCAGATGACTATGCCTATTTTACAGATAAGGAAATTGAGCACAGAGTGGTAAATAAATTGCCCAAGTTCCCACAGCGAATTGTTGGCAGAGCCAAGATTAAGTGCAGTGAGGTTGTGGGAACTACAGGCCATGTGTGTCTGGGCGGGGTGTGCTTGTGCATATTTATATAAGGCAGAAAACGATTTCAAGTAAGATTACAGTAATATATTGGGTAAGCAGGTAGAGCTTCACCATGAAAATGGAACTCGGTTAGTTACTTGGGGCTCAAGTAACTAACCGAGTTACTTCCCGTAAAATCATCACGGGAAGTAGTAACAGGAATTTTGACTGATATCCCAAATTTGCAGCCTTAGTTGCTGTGAGAGGTCTGAGATGGCAATTCTGTTCATGTTGGTTGCATGAGTTAATTTGCACTGCAGTTAGGTTTGCCAGAAGCAGATGATGAGACAGGGAGCTCTGGAGTCAGTATCGTAGGTTGGAGTGTCCCACTCCACCCTTTATACTCCCCTCTCCCTCAGATAGTATATGGCCGCCGTGGGAAGGTCAGGACTGCAGCTGAGGCAGACCCTGAATGCGCTGACAGCTGTAGGCCATCTGCTGATCACACTACTGGCCCCTGAGCAGGGCAGCAAGTCCTTTCTTGAAGAAGGATCTGAGTGGCACATCTCCATGCCTGCCACAATGTGTCACCTTTAATATAAAAAAGGTGGTAAATTAGTACAATTTTCATTATATCTGTAAAAGTTAATAATTTCTGTGGTGTTGTGTGCTTTGTGAACTTTTAAGATCTATGGGGGAGGGTGGGAGTTTAGCGGGTGGGGGGGGAGGAGGAGTTGGATGAGGGCAATCAGAAGGTACAAACTTGCAGTTATAAGATAAATAGTACTAAGGATGCAATGTACAACATGATCGATATAATTGACACTGATATGTGTTATATATGAAAGTTGTTAAGAGAGTAAACCCTAAGAGTTCTCATCACAAGATACTCTTTTTACTATTTCTTTATTTTGTACCTATATGAGATGATGAATGTTCACTAAACTTGTGATAATCACTTCACGATGTATGTAAATCAAATCATAATGTTGTACACTTTAAACTTATACAGTGCAGTATGTCAATTATATCTCAATAAAACTGGGAGAAAAAAATATGAAACATTTAAGAGAATTTTGTGACCACAGGTATAAGATTGATTTATCGCTATTAGATTTACAAGAGTTATGTAAGTGCTTATAAAATTTCACTGCCAAGATGTTAGATATATTACATTTGTAATTGTAGTTTAAGATATCTAAGAAAATTTAATTAATGGAGTATGCAAGTGACGTTAAATATTCAAGAAGTATATAGTCTGTTATGCTATGAATTAAATCACAGAGAATAAGTGAAAGTGATTGTCCATATTTTTATGCAAAGATTATGAGATTTATAAATAGACTAACAAGATTTATAAATTGAGCTTTTTAGAGGCTTAAGAAATACAAGTTTACAATTTTAATGTCTTTGCCTATTAATAAACAAATTAGTCATGTCTATTATCAGTTTTTATTGTAGCTAGTATTCACTCCCAGGACTTTCACTATTCCCTCTATGTTCAATGATTCTTAAAAACATAACATGAGGCCTTGACTTCCCACTTGAACTTCAGTTCTAGATTTTCAAGTCTGTAGACTTTCCATTTGAATATATACCAAGAGCTCAAATGCAGCATGTTCAGAACTGTACTAAATCTCTCCTAACACTTTTACTTTCTCAACGACTTCATTTTGGTTAAAGATTTTTATCATTATTTATTTATTTATTTATTTATTTAGTGGTACGCGGGCCTCTCACCGCTGTGGCCTCTCCCTTCGCAGAGCACAGGCTCCGGACGCGCAGGCCCAGCGGCCATGGCTCACGGGCCCAGCTGCTCCGCGGCATGTGGGATCCTCCCAGACCAGGGCACGAACCCGCGTCCCCCGCATCGGCAGGCGGACTCCCAACCACTGCGCCACCAGGGAAGCCCTTATCATTATTTTAATATCGCAAACTAGCAAGCTTTTGGAGTCAATAGTTACTCTTCACTCATCTTCATATTCTGTATGTGCAGGCATCAAATTGTTATTTTCTTCTAATGTTTCTTAGGTTCATCCACATCCCTCCATCACTATCGCATTTTCTCTAGACCAGGCTCAAGAAATGTTCCTTCTAAATTATTGCCACAGTCTTCCTAGCTTCCATTGTTTTTCCATTTAATTGGTTTAGCATACCAATCTTCCATATTTTAGAATCTTGGAGTGACTCACTAGTTCTTCTATGTCATGGCATAGAATCATAAAACTTTACAGCTGAAGAAAATCTGTAGAAAATAATATAGTCTTCACTCAGTATCTGTAGGGATTTGGTTCCAGGACCCCTGCCTCTTGGATACTAAAAATCTGTGGATGTGCAAGTACTTTTTATAAAATGGCATAGTATTTGCATATAATCTGCTCACATCCTCCTGTACACTTTAAATCATCTTTAGATTACTTATCACACCTAATACAATGTAAATGCATGCAAGTAGTAATAAATTCAATGTAAATGTTATGTAAATAGTTGCTGATGCTTGGCAAATTCAAGTTTTGCTTTTTCGAACTTTCTGGAATTTTTTTTCTGAATATTTTTGATCCAAAGTTGGTTGAATCCTCGGATGTGGAAACTAGATACATAGAGCCAACTGTACAATGCAATCCCCATTTTCCTCCATCCTACAAGAAGAGAAGAATGAATCCCAGAGTTATTGCATGACTTCAATGTCACATTGATAACTGGTGACAACGCTGAAATAGATCTCAAGGTGTATGAGGCATGTCTTAGGATTTTTTTTTAATTTCCCATTTTACTGGACATTTAATTGTTCATTCAATTGTTCATATGGCATATATGCCATAAATATTTTTTTAATAAATTTATTTATTTTATTTTTGGCTGCATTGGGTCTTCGTTGCTGCGCACAGGCTTTCTCTAGTTGTGGCGAGCAGGGGCTACTCTTGGTTGCGGTGCGCGGGCTTCTCATTTTGGTGGCTTCTCTTGTTGCGGAGCATGGGCCCTAGGTGCACGGGCTTCAGCAGTTGTGGCGCATGGGCTCAGTAGTTGTGTCTCGCGGGTTCTA